TCTCCTTGGTAATTATCATGGTTATCGTAGTAACCGCCCTCTGCGGCATAAGGGTTGTTTGCGTCGGCGTTGTAGTAGCCACTACTAACTGTCAGTAATCATCTCTAGTTGCAGATAGTACACCACAAAAACTCACGATTCGTCATAGTAGCCATCGTTCCCATTTCCGTTTCCATGGGGTGGCTGCTGCTGTCCACCATGAGCATCATAACCATTGTCATAGTAGTGACCATTCTGGTCATCTTGATAGTACGAATCGTGGTTTTGACCGTATCCGTCATCGTAGTCGTGACGGCCACCGCCGCCGCCACCACCTCCTTGGTAGCCCGACATCTTGGGAAATCGAAACTATGCAGAAGACGCGGTCTGAAATACTGATATCAGCACTGTGAAAAGGAATTGCAGATACTTTCCACCAATCTTATCGAATAATTTCTGCTGGATTACTTACAAATTAAGGACTCATCAGGGATATTTTAAATGTAAAGGTAGAGGGCTTGAATAAAGTCAAGCGATGGCGAATTGTCGAGATTAAAATTATTAATTTGTTATATCGAGTCAATGTGGCCGGCCACAAGCAGTCGCTGTCTTTTGTGACAAATATGGTAGTGAGTAGTGGCTGCTATTATTTGTTGACTCGCGAGGGAAAACAGCTGTATTTACTTGAGTGAGCCCCTGACGCGGGATGGCGCAGGTGTCAAAACTTGGAAGTGCAAAAGTGAATGTTGACTTCCCAGGTTCCTGGCTACGCGGTAGGTTGACACTAATAGTCGCACAAGCTAGTGCAGTAATTAACGCGATAAGCCCCTGACGGATGCCTAAGGATAAACCGAGGCGTGATCAAAAGCGCGTTTGATTGGCGAATGCGACAAATTCCACCTCGTAATTATCTCCCTTTGCTGAATGGTCGGTGATTTCCGATTGATTCACTTGCAACTCGTGCGCTAAGTTGGCTGTGATAAACGATTGACAGTTATCGACGAGAGTAATAATACTCTTGGTGTCTCCTTTAGAGTTTCCGTTTTTCGCGGACCGTTAAACGAGCGTGCGTTGAATCAACGGAAGGCGGGAGCGAAAGACAAAGAAAGGAATGACCAAGTAGTACCTGACAGTAACGAAAGGACGCTGCTCCTTCTAGGTTCTATGCGTAAAGCGGAATCTCTATTCTCTTTCCTGTTTCTGTAGTTCCTCGCGCTGCCCCCCTGACGTTTTCTACGCAGAGTTGTAGCGGCAAGATGGTACAAAAAGATTGAAATGAGGAAGAAAGAGAGTATGAGAAGATAAGAATTAGAAGTCGAAGGATGAAAGCGAGTGTAAAACAAGTTTTGTCAAGGGCGAAGGGGGGAAAGGGGATTTTGGGACATGGAACTTGGGATCTAGAATCAAGAAAAATGTCAGAAAGGAGAAAAGAGCCAGGGGGATCGGGCAAAGCTTAGCCCAGCCCACTCAGCGATACCCGTGCTTAGTATCGCCCCTTAGCCAGGGTGTGCAACAGTACAATAGGTACGTACACCCAATTACAGTGTGTGTATGGTACATAGTACATGTGCTTGGTACATGATGCACAGTGTTAATGGGTTAGGGCTGCTGGGCAGCAAGGTAACGTACTATGTACCTACATACATACAGGTAGAATAGTTATTTTTCACCCACCGGTGCATCCGGCTGCCAGCCTTTTACTATGTAGCTATTCCTATCACAGTGCATATTCTAGACCAGATCGAGATTGAAACAGGGCATTTTCCTACCCGCAATGGAAAGGTGAGTGGAGGTTGGGATTGAACGTGGCTGTGGACGGAGTCGCTACCTAGAGGCGAGGGTGTGGAACAGGTAATGCAGTCAAGTTTCCTTCTAAAGCAAGGTATCGTGCTATTGATTGCATTGATAGGTCAGGTTGCAATTTGTTAGAGAAGGACGTGGAAGTGCAGAGGACTGGTGGAGTTGGCAGTTGCCAAAACAAGCCGTCCTTGATTCATCATTAGCAGGATTTAGCCCCTTATTGGTGGACTAGAACAGCCATGACAGGGGGGGGTATTACATAGGAGTGGGCTTGTTCTGACCTGTACCTGGTGCTAAAGAGGCTACAGTGTTAAGAAAACTGTAAGGTACAAGTACAAGGTAGTATACACAGGTCCATGTACAGAACCACTCAATCGCTTAAAGCCAGACTTGAATCTTTTTACTTTTTAGTTTGGGCTGCTAGAATTCTTGACAGAATCTTGTCTGTACGCTTAATATTACAGGTGTATGTAGCCATCACATTAAGATCAGAGTTTCAGTTGTCATCTTGTCATCTTGTCATCTGATATTCTTTTTACGGATGGATGATAAAGTTTGGGCTCTGCCATCCTTTATGTAGGTAGGTAGGTATTTTATGAGGTCTCTTTAAATATGCTGCCCGCTCTAGTGTACCGAGCCGGCCGTTAGTCGTCTATTTTCAATCGGCTAGCAAAGCCTAGGTACACAGTAGTATTTCCGACACGAGCAGCTAATGCCGTAGTGTACAGGTACCCTCCATCAGAATAGGTAGCGCCCCACCTCTCCTTTTTATCTTATGCATATTCAATACATGCGGGTATTCTACACTACATAATAGCAACACGATTACAGCTCACCTATCGCCAACAATACCGTCGACGACAGCAGGTCTCGAGGATAAGTTAATATATACGCTCGTTCGTTATCACGAAAATTTTTGGTTTTATCTATATGCGCACTTGGAAATAATATCGTAAAGGATATGACGTCATCTAAGCAATGTGTCACTACTTGATATATTGAGTACAATATATTGAGTACAGCATACGACTTCTAATAAATAGGAGCGCAACTCTTCCTCGATATCTAGGTTGGTATACGCAATTCATTCTCAGTTGATGCAGCCCCGGGGTTGTCAACTACTGTTACCACTGGTAAGAAGAGAAAGAAATCGGATCAATTCTCGAACTCGAACAAACATCGTATTCTGAATTCTCTTCGTAATTCTCTTCGTATTACGTGCCGACGGTGTAACCCACCAATTTTTGCCACTGGCTCTTCTGTCTAACTATATACCTTGTAGTCACTTATCCCTCTCTCGAATACGATCTAAGTTAGGAGAGAGAGATACTGATGGTCTAATACCATCACATATGTATGTATTAACGTAGTATGCAAGACACGTACCAACACAAACTTTGGTGGTGATGATGGTCTTCGGCAGCATTCAATTAAAGAGCCTGACGCGACTCTGACGCCCTAACCATCCTGCCGCCCCCTAATACGGTTATCGAATTGCGCATCTACGAAAATCCGGGCTAGGAAGAATCGGGTACCTATGTATTGAGAATGAGAAGCACAAGCCTTGATTTGAATCCCATCCCATCCCCGTCAACCGAAACGGCTTCTCGTCCGCAGCAAAAGAGTAGCGGTGGCGTCCAATGAAGAGTCCGAAGGAGCACTACAAGGAGCACGAACCACCCAACGCTTACAAATGACGAGCTACGCTATATGCAGGTACCGGCCATTATTCCCTCTTCCGGCTATCGATGACGGAACGCTCAAATTACATACGTGCGCGTACGGTGTTATACACGTAGTGTAATTTTACTATTTCTGCAACAAGATATGCATGATGAGGAACTATCCACGCGTCTAGTTGCCAATGGCGAAGAAGAATAATTCTTACTGGACGAGCTGGAGCTGATAGGCGTGCGGCACAAAGCCCTAGATACTAGTACCGAAAGATTTGAAGACTATCCTTTTTTCGCTTCGATAGATTAGAAGTGCTTGCAGAGGAAAATCTGTAGATCAGCATAAATAAGCATGCGTTATGTACGTAGAGGTACAGATCATACTCCAATACATACAAAAATACATATAAACAGTGTTATGAACAGTGTGGTGATTGTACAATACATATGTAGGAATAAACTAGATAGCAGCTTGGGTGGAAGATTTTCAATCAGCCGAGCGAGCCAGAAATGTCCTCTGTAGTGTAGAGCTCGAAGTCAAGGAACCCCCTGAGAAGAAATAGGATTTATGTACATATAAGCATGTAATAGCAGACCAGTATATGCATAACTAGTAAAAATTAAACTTAATCCACACGCTTCTCGAACGTACAATCTATTCTAAGCTACTTGTTAGACGTGGGTCAATCTCGAGATCGAGCAATGGATGGTCTTATGTAGGATTCCTTTTTCAAATTTCAGGGGCAGAGGACACCAACGCCAGCATCCTAATTGGCTACGCCCCTCAATGCTTGAAGCCGCCAAAAGTAATTATTTTTAGAGGCGCGCCCAAAGCGAGCCAAGGTGCAAGGAAGAATATATAATACATAGACTACAGTACATAGTGTAGGTACCTAGGCAGCTCGACCAGCTTCGGAGTTAGTTAGGTAATAAACGACTTAGATCCGTCTATGAGTGTGTGTTAAAATCAGTTGAAGTCAATTAATTATAAGTCTAAGCAGCAGCAGAGCTTACAAAGCCATGAGTTTACCTATCCAGCAATGCTTGCTTCGACTTTATGTATTGACGAATAAGAAGGCCATTTGCCTGGAAACCAATTAACAGATTACTTAAAGAAATTCCCTCTCAAGGTAAGCTGAAACCAGTCAATCGCACAGCGCTGTATTTCGCGTTTATGCATTTTACATTTCCAATTATACCTATCATGACTACCTATAAATGAGTTCCATTAGTCACTTATATATACAAAGCAATGAGAAGAGGAAGGTGTAAATGATGAATTAATTTATAGCGAATTGACTACCTAGGTAGATAGGAGGTATATTTCCAAAAGTCCATATCCCGAATTGAGTTCTCACCGCCGTACGTTAGATGTATGTACATACGTTGTATGCCTGAAATATTGGAGATGGGAGATTGGAGATTGTACGTACATACAGTGGACCTATCTGCACCTATCAGTGGGAACAGTACAATACGGATTATGTAAAGAGCCTGCTAGGCCTGCTAGGCCAGCACCCCGCGTTGCCTGGCAACCACGACCTATCACCTATCAAACCTTAACCCTAAATCTTATATTGATTCTACATGAGAAAGAAAAACGTTTCTATTATGGAGTAACCAACATTGGAAGCCTAAACCATATATTCGTAATTACTAGTGATACCGCGGCATGATATCGTTAGGGAAGATCGCATCGCAAATATGTTACAAGGTATATTAAGCGATAGTAGCGAGGATGAATTCCCAGAGGTAGACGTGGTTGTCGGTCGGTATCATAAAGTACCAGGAAAGCAGGAGACCAGCGGAAAAAGTACACAGACGACGGCAAAGTCCATTTCACGAACAGAACGTGATGTGCTAGTCAAGTCAAATACAGCAGTGAAATCGACACCTCTTCGACGGCGGAAACTAGGTCAAGGTCAAGGCCAAGGTCAGGTCGTGGATGGATCCCTCTTAAAACCTTGGGATGACAGCGCAACTGCCAAGGAAAAAGGTGGCCGGACGTCAAAGTCAAGGGGCTCTCGTGCTCCTATTCCTATTCAAAGAGCAAACCCCAAACCAGATGTATCCTCTGGGGATACATCAAATCCATTGCCGGCCACGGCTCGGCAAACGGCTTCTCGTACGATATTGTCCAGCACCAAGCCGGTTCTATTGCCAAAGGAAAAGGAGATATCTAATCAAAAGAGCAGACGGAAAGATGGACACGAAGAAAATGAGCAGGTTTCTCGGAAGTTAACCAAAAAACCAATACTTTCGGACGATTCTGAAGAAGAATCAGACACAATACAGGAAATCGTAGAGACAAGTGAAGAGGAAATTTCCGAGTTCGTCTCAATATCCGAATCCGAATCAGATACGTGGAACTCGGACTCAGAACAGTCCTTGACACCACCCACGCGGCGCTCAAGGAGTCCCACCACTCAATGGGCGAAGCCTCAGAGAACGTTGTTCAGAGACCCGGGCAAAAAGGCAGCACCCAGCAACAAACAACCCCAAGCAACCATCGTCGACCCAGGCAAACATTCACCCAAACAACGCGAGCCCAAGAGAAACATTCTTGACTACTTCAAGTCATCCCAACCAGGAGATCTAGAAGACACCTTTCAGAAACTTCACATGTAAGCGACGCCAAAAGTAGTTAGCATCATTGCCGTGGCGCAAACAATACCGATCAATGCTAACCGTCCTTCTAGCTTCAACGAGGACTCCGATTCTGACGAGCCCTCGACTAAAGCAGCTAAGAAACCTGTGCTGGAGCCTATAACGCCTAAGAGGACGCAGAAGACGCTGCCTGCGTCTCCCCTCAAGACACCTAGGATCCCCGCATCGCCCTGGAAACCCGAGCATAAGGAGTTTTGGGATCCAGAGGTGAACTTCGCCTGGATCGACGAGCACTCACCCGAGAAGCCCAAGGCCGATGCACCAGAGAAGGCAATCAAGGCAAAGAAGCAGGGCGCGCCGGAAACGGCCAAACGGAAGCCCGGCACAAGCCCAGCAAAGCAGCTTCGGGATGCGCGGCGTGCCTTCGACGCCTGCAAGGAAGATCTCGCGCGGACCTTCCTCCGCGAATTAGACGAGCGCGTGACGAAGGGCCAGCTAGCACAGCTCACACAGGAGACGGGCGGCTTGCAGATCAAGTGGTCCAACACGCTGCTCACGACAGCCGGACGCGCGCACTGGAAATGCAGAACAGTGTCTACGACGACACGGCACGCCAACGGGACTAGCAGTCAGGGGGCTTCCATGCGTCAGCACAACGCGTCCATCGAACTGGCATCCAAGGTCCTCAGCAACGAGGCAGACCTCTTGAACACAGTCGCGCACGAGTTCTGCCACTTGGCCGTATTCATGCTCGGCGGCCCCAACACTAGCCCCGAGGCCGAACGTGGTATGGGTGAGAAGAAAAAGAAAGCAGCAGCACACGGCCCCGAGTTCAAGGCCTGGGGCGCGCGGTGCGGGGCTATTTTCGGCGACCGCGGTATCCAGGTTACCACGAAGCACAGCTACGAGATTGAGTACAAGTACGTCTGGCGTTGCGGGGACTGTGGCATCGAGGTTAAGAGACACTCGAAGAGCGTGGATACAGAGCGCCAGCGGTGCGGTGGATGTCGTGGACGGCTGGTGCAGATTAAGCCTGTGCCGCGTGGCTCCGGTGCTACTATCAAAACTGGTGCTGGCGCGACGAGTACTCTGGGTAATAGCACCGATGCAGGTGTGAGCGGGAGCGGGAGCGGGAAAGATAGTACCGTCGCCGCTATCGCAACGATACCCAAGAAGAAGAGCGCATGGCAGGAGTTCATGACGAAAGAGGCACGCGTCCTGAGCCAGACGAACCCCGGACTCTCATTCAAGGAACGCATGGCGCTTATATCGATGCGATGGAAAGAGCTGCAGAAAGAAGAAAAGCAGAAGGATAAGAAGGACGGCGGACGAGCAGTAAAGGAGCTGCAGAGCGCTGTCGAGGTCCTAACGATCGACGACGACGACGACGATGAAGGGGGGCAAGAAGAGGGGGACAAACAGCAGGAGGCTGTAGAAGACAAGGCTCGGGGCACTTATGACATCTTCGCGTAGCGCCGAAGTGACACGTTACAGACTGGGGGTGCGCGGCAGACGGGTATATACGCCTGAGGGTTGTACGCGGACGGGTTCTGGCATGGCAGAATGTTATTATCTATCGATCGATCGTTTAGGATAGGTAGACGAGGTGGCCATACAACGCCCCGTATCATAGCGAGAATAATACCTAGGGGTACTAAAGGGCAGTAGCGTTGGCTGGTAGGTAGTTTAGACCGACCGTTTGTCTCGATGACTTGATAAGAATGAGAATTTAATTAAGAGTCTACCTAATCTAAAGACGGGCATATATATATAACAGGGCAATATTGGTAATCTCTTGATTATACGAACCTTGTCACTTATAGTAAAACATACCTAGATTAGCACCCTAACTACATAAATAAATAGTAACGGTCAGTCACAGCTAAGACAGCCCTTAGTTCGTCTTTGAAGCAACATCACGTCTATCCAACCCTAGGCATAGTTAGAGTAATTGAGATATACTATCTATCTAGGCTACATAACTCCCTAGGTACCGGGCGCGAGACAACAATCCCTCCTTATCTACCTAAAGCAATGGCCATGTCATATCCATATCCACTTCCCTACCGCCGAATATGCATGCTACCTGGTCCCTATCCATAAGTACTCGTTCGTGATTCGTATCAAAGCCGAAGCCCAGAGGGGCTGCGGGACAATAGACAAACAAAGGAAACGACGTCCCTCAAAATCCCCCCTTAGCAAAGTCTCGTCATGCTCTCCCCTTCCTGTGATTCCTAGGCACTCTTCCTAATTTAAACCCGGTTAGTCGCATAACAACGCTACTTTGGCAATGTAGGTAGTAGTATATCCCATTCGCAAATCCCATTATTATTTCCCAACTCTTTCGCCGCTTAGACCTCGTTGAAGAGACCCCAGTCCTTAACTTTGAAAGTCTCCCAGATCTTAGCGGCGTAGTCGACCGCGTCGCCGATGAGCTTTCCTTGCCTGCCGAGCTCAAGGTCGACGTCGTCCTCGTCGTACTCGCCGCGGATGTGCGGCACGTTGATGGTGATGAGCAGGTCTGTCTTCTCGCGCTCTAGCCGTACCAGCGTCAGGATGATAGCCGTGAAGTCCGTCTTCTTGACCGGCCGCTGGGGCTTGTCGTCGTCCGTAGGCTTGTCCGGCTTTTGTGTCGTGTGTGTTGCGATCAGCGTATAAGCAGGGATATCGTCGCTGTTGGGAGTGCGATGGCGCGCGTTAGTTAGTCTTTGAAGGGATTGTGGGTGTCGGAAGGAAGGAAGGACGTACTCTAGGCGGGAGAATACAGTGGGTGTGGTATTCCAGACCTTGACGTTCTCGAGGTCTTCCCCTACAAGTTCCTCGAGGTGCGTGGTCAAGGCGCGACCGTCTATCTCGGGACCGCTGCCCGGGCCGCCAACGCGCTCGTTGATATCAAAGATGATGCTGGTGAAGCCATCTTTGTCGATATATGCTTCTTGGTGGTCGGGAACTTGTCTTATGAGGCTGATATATGGATAATCAGACGGTTAGTGTTAGAATATAAAGATAAAGATAAATATATATATATATAGGATACAAGAGAGTATCTGCAAACGTACCTCACGTCAGCGAAGTTAGCTGGGAGGTCGCAGATGAGAGCTCCTCCATATAGCGGGGTACTCTTGTAAGTCGTCATGGTGAGAAGTAGAAGTAGGGTGTTGCGAAAAGAAGATTAAACTTCAAATGTTGGATTCGAATATTGAATGATTAGATGATGGGGATTTAAAGTTAGGTATGTTACTCGGATTTGGTGGGACGTTAGCTATAGTTTAAATATTTGTCAAATCGTCCTTTCTCTGTACGATATCAAACTGACTGACTGATCAACGGCAAGCTAGTTCGCCTATGCCTTGCTGGTTTGCGACTGCCTGCGTAGTGTATACCTATGCTGCATGGTACATGTGCTTGGTGGGGCAGCAGGATGGGCAGCAGATGATGTAACTTGCATCTTTGCGACACATACTTTTAGCGCCTTATTGGCTTATTGGCTTATTGGCCTACCTAAGGTTAGGTTCCTAAGCCTAATTTAGTAACGGCGAATGAAGGCGAGCGATAGTGTATGTACATAGAGAGCAAGTACCTATCTCTCTCATCTTTCTTCCCTTGCCATCAGTTCTTCGCCAAGGTTCTTTTTCTTGTACGACTCATCGAGAACTCTTTGCGCCTTCAACTTATATACGGAGGAGCATATAGTGACTCTTAATACGAACTCTAAGGAATTGACTGCATAGAAAGAGAAATATGAGTCAGGAGTGGTACGATAGAATTGCGGATATACATAGTATTGCTTGATATAGCTGCCTATTCGACAGTTTATGAGTCAGGAGACGAGGAAAGGCGCTAACTGGTTAATAAGAATAACGGAATAAAAGCCTGTAATCATCATAATGAAGACTTTCCTTGGCTCTTGAGTAGTATCGTATAGTATAATCCATGTTAGCTACGCCGTATAGTCTGGGTACTCAGGGGAATTATATATGTATGATACAGTAGTATACGCCGGACCTCTAGGTATAGTCAGTCAATGTACTTCAAACTATATAAAGACCGAAGGATAGCAACTAACTAAGGACATTTGCACAACTCGGCTTCTTCGTAACCTCTTACCACATTCTTTAGACATTAAGTTGCAAGCTTAAAGTTGGTAATCGTTGGGAAGCTCTCATCAAAAGACTTTAATCATTCATAATGTCAACATCGGTTCTTTACAGCTGGAATTGCCATGTATAGAGGTAATCGCCAACTAGACGAGATCACACATATTCATGTACTCTCTTACTTTCATGGCTTCAACCTCATTATCAATTCAGCCATCCGAGGCAGGCTTGCCTGACCTAATTTAACCATTCATTCCACCCTGCCCGTCATCCCAAGACCGCCTCACCGTTGGCAACCTAGTTTGGTTCTTAAGCTTTCATCTAATTCCTTCCATTACCGATCCCACCACCAAATTCCTCCATATAAATAATCATACTCTGTCTTCCCTAGGGGTATCATCGGTAATAGTGAAAGTCTAGAATGCAAATAGATAATATATGAAATGAAAACAAAAGAGGAGCATCTAGGGTATATCGCGATCGACCACCCCACCCCCCCTATGCGCCGTAATTCAAGAATTTGACCGCAATAGTTAACAACCCCAGTTATTAATAATACTGGGGGGTTGGTTAACTTGGTCGCTTCCTCATGCATGTTTATCATAATTTTTCTTGTTAATTATCTCCAAAGGTTTCCAGCCAGACCGCCTAAACGCGGGAAGCTAGGTCCCAAGATTTTGGGGATCGGCTGGACTCCTTTCGGACGGCCCAACCCTTGAGGGCTAGAAGGATAACTTCCCAGGCCATGATCAGACCGACTAATCCCATAGTAACGGTGTAGAAAAACATGGCGTCCAGGTCGTAGTGGATCATCCCCTCAACTGTGTCGTTGGCCTATAGCTCTTGTTAGCTCCTGAAATTTAGTACAGTAACCCAGATATGACTTACGCTTGCCATGAAGATAGTACCCCCTGCAATGAGTCCAAACGCGGTAATAAGCTCGGTCGGAGGTCGAGATGGCAGGATCGAGCGCGGAGGCTTGAGATATAGTAGCACGTATGTAAATCCTCGAGCAAAAGAGGCGCCAGTTAAAAGGTTGCCCCACTGCTTGTGAACCATGCTAGAAACCATGTTGTGCTGCGTGTGCGAGCTCATCATGATACCAAGAAGTAAGATCACGAGCGCCGGAATAGGATTGATGGAGAATTCGTATTCCCTTGGTGCCTGTAAAGCTTCACGTTCCTCATCACTGTAGGCGTGGCTCGGATGCGAGAGAGCTGCATCGTACACCGTAGTATTTAAGAGTTCCCGAATCCGCGTCGACTCAATGAGCATAGCAAGCTGTATAATCCGAATTAGTGCCATCACGCAACGCATATCTGCTAACACGATAATGACTTACCAGGCCACCTCCGATGAAGAGAACCGTAATGGAGATGTGCTCTAGATCCTGAGGGCTGAATTCCTTACCGGCATTGCCAAGATGCTCCAGGAAGATGTTGGTTGAACCGTAAGTGAAGATAAGCGCACCCTCGACGAATTCCGCAGTTGGCCTCCATTTCTGCGAGCTTTGTTTCGGGCGGACGTTCCATGCCTGTGTAATTTTTGTAAGCAACCACCTGATGCTGATCGGTTAATTGGGGGCGGTGTTCGTTCCGACTTACCCAACCCAGCTCACCGAAACTTCCCGACCACCTTCCGAGAGTCAAAATGCCGTACCAGAAAAAGATGCCACCCTTGATCCAATGAGCTAAGCCGCTGAAAATACCGTGACCCTCCTAAATTGAGCGGTTAGCCTACGACCTACGAAATCGTAACCCTAACAAATTCGCTTAGGTCAACTTACAAAGAATCGTCCGAATGTGATAACACCCGTGCACAGAGCAACGTAACCTAGAATGAGAATAGTACGGTCGACGAAGTTGTAGGCAAACATCAAAACTTTCCATGCTCTGGTAGAAATCTTGCCGGCAAATCTAGCGATGAGCGAGTTGGTATTCTTTGAACCTAACACTTTCGCGGGCTTGAAGTGAACCTCTTCCAGATCGTCAAAGTGGATTCGCCGGTCGCTCATCTCAATAGGGGATTCCTGACCCACTACAGTCGACAAGGAGTTACTTCTCAAAGACTCGGTGTTTGGCTCGGTGCCTTGCCCACTATCGTTAGAATGGCGGTATGGGTGAGGGTGAGAGTATAGCGCATCGTTAATGCGTTGGTGCTCAGCCATAGCCTCTGTCGAAACCGGAATGAACGCCTGCTCTTCCTCCTTGCCGTAGCCTTCTGTTCCTTTCCCGCCCATCACGCCTGCGACGCGGCCAACGAGGCTGATAAACACTTGCGCACTGACTACCCAAGTGACCAACCAACCAAGCTTGTGGTGCGCATTGTTGGGATACAGATCGGGTGTGTTCGCGTTGTAGGTAATACCTAGTACGACGCCGAGCGCGTTTGTGACGAGGAAGAGAAATTGGACGGGGAGCGTATACCGGGATCGCGCAATGGAGAACATAACAGCTAAGAGAAACAGTTAGAATCATTATGAACTTGTCCTGGAGTTGCTAAGATGGTCGGTCATACCTAGTGGCAGCATGATTACCCAACCGACGACCATCAGTGCGATATGCGCATATATTTCGACTACGTGCTCTGGATGCGAAAAGTACGTGGGCGTGTACGATTCTGGATCCGGTTTTGGATCCTCTTTACTCATGTCCATACTCATATCCATATCCATATCTGTCGCGCCTTCGTCGCCGTGACCGTGGGCAAGAATCGTAGGAATAGCTCCAGCTATGGCGACGAGCGCCAGCGCCTTAAGCGCAGACTGAGCAGTTGACTTCATATCGATTAATGTTGTTTGGAATAGGTTTAACGGTAAAATTGAGCGGGTCAACCGGGAGACATATATTTACATAACCCCCGGCCGAGCTCTTTGTCTTTAGGTGGGTTAACCCTTGAACGAGCTGTACCCTAGCACGGTTAGAGATTGCGCTTCACCGACGTAAGTCACTTTTATGAAAGTTGCGAGGGCGGGTGATAGTAGGTATGTAAGGCTGACCTCAGTGGCTTTCTGCTTTGTTCACGGTAAGTAGCTAGCCTAGAGCTTATATACCACCTTGTAGAAAGCTACTAGATCAGTAATACCAGGTATACGACCATTAAAAACGTGGCGAAGTAATGGTTGGTGGTATCCAGTGGAAGTATGCTACCTCATCTCATGTATGGGAGGACAAACGAGTCATATGGAGGGGAGGGGGGGAGGAAGGAGGAAGGCTTTCATACATAAACAGCATCTTGGTGGGAGGAGTGGAAAGTGCATATCCTCCGGAATATATTTATTTTGTATGTATTGTACCAAGACGGACAACGGTGTCGGCGCTCTTTGTGCCCATGAAGTTGAATATACTATTGGCAAGTACTACTTACGTACATGGGCCAGTAGAGAAATAGCAGTAATAGCAGCAATAGCTTTCTCGTGGATACTTCTTACCTCGTGTAGTCTGAATGTACATACATCTAAGTTAGGTACACTTTCCGTTCGATGTTGGCCATTGACAAGAAAAAAAGGCCGGGCCCACCCGAGCGCATTCTTCTTGTCATTTGTTCGCGCCATCTGTTTCTGATGAGCCATCGAGCGATAGCGTTAAAAAATAGCACGATGGTCCATCCGAGGTATCCGAAAAGAAACCATCGACGGGCGGTATGGGATATTGATTGAGGCTGTCAAGGGCTTGAAGAAACTCGCAGAATCGTACTGTGGATATCTTGGGGGCAGGAATGGTTCATCCCTAACGAATACCCATGTCTAGTCCCATGTATAATCATGTACATACTCGTTGGCTGAAGGAATACATACATAAAAATATACATAATTAGCTCTTATGTAATGACAGCATCGGCTATTTAGAAGGTACCCACTTCCCGCTGGGTACTTACACCTATGCAGAGCATCGATACCTCACGACTTCGACAGGGTTAGGTATTTCTTCACTTAGCCATGCGATATGATGACTTCTTTTACTAGAAGCTTCCCGGCCAATGGTTATTAATCGTGTCTGGCCTATGGTGTGACTCGAATTATGAAAGGATCAATAAGTTTTTTTTTCCCTTGACATCCGACAACCCCGCCATCCGCAATCGGATATAAAGATGTACATGTAGAATCCCATATTCCTCCGTGTCACATAAGTACCTCTTT